ACCTTGAGCTTCCCCTCCCCACACCGTTCCCTGGCTGGGAATCGGCTTTTTGAACAAGATCGCTCACCTCCTTGCCTAAAGCCAAGTGCCGTCACCCAGCTGATGGCGAGCATGGGAGCCACACACTGCATTGCTGCTTGCACTTGACCCCAGACCCCGTGGTCCTGTGACGGTCTACCAATCCTCAATTCTAGGGTGCTCCTGTTACCTACGGATCCCACTCTCCCTCTGAGTTTGTTATGGGCCACAGAGAACAGGACTGTAGAACTCTGATGAAGATTCCACTTACCATTACAGTACCTGGCACATAAGACAGCAGAGGAATCACTTCACTCCCTGTTGAGTGCTTACTAAGTGCGAGGCACTGCTGAAGAAGCTTTCCATGAATTACGTCATTTCATCTGCAGAACGATGCTAAGAGACAGGCACTAGTACTAATTGTCCAGATTAGGAAACTGACACACAGTATGCATCCATCAAGTGTTTGTGGAATGAGTGAGCTTGCAGTGGGCCCACAGAGTTGTCTGACAGTCATTTTATTTTTTTATTTTTTTTTAAGATTTTATTTATTTATTTGAGAGAGAGAGAATGAGAGATAGAAAGCACGAGAGGGAAGAGGGTCAGAGGGAGAAGCAGACTCCCCGCTGAGCAGGGAGCCCGATGTGGGACTCGATCCTGGGACTCCAGGATCATGACCTGAGCCGAAGGCAGTCGTTTAACCAACTGAGCCACCCAGGCGCCCCGACAGTCATTTTAGTGGTCCATTCCCCTAGCATAAGTTTTCAATGCATCCTCACTCAACTCTCTGACCAACCTCTGCTCTTCTCTCCTTCTTTACCAAAAGGATCAGATGGAGAGCATGTAAACTCTGCACTGCTCCGCTATCTCAAATGTTCATCCTTTTCGCTTAAAATGTCTTTCTCTACATTTTCCCCCTCCTGGAAGAAGACATCATTTTGAAAGTGCTCTCCTCCCCATGTGAGTTTTGTCTCACACCTAGTACTCCTTGGACCCCTGCTCGAACCCTCCTGAGCCACACCTTCATTCTCTACTTCTTGCTTCATCAGCACTCCTATTGCCAGAGCACAAGCAGAATCTCACCTCTTCCATGAAGAGAATCCCTGCTCAACCCTGCTACATCCTCAGGTCACTCTCTCTTCATCACCAAATTTCTCCAAAAGATAACCTCAGTCTCCTTCCCTTCATTACCAAAATCCACGCCCTTAACCACACGATCGGAATTTCAACTCCAGATCGTTAATGGAAACTTGTGAAAAGTTCTCAAAGCCATCCTGGGTCTCTTCCCCAACATCGCTCCCCGGTCTCAAGTCCAGATCTTGGAAGCTGGTGTCCAGGCCCTCCCCAGTCTGGTTCCTAGCCATCTCTCTTTGGCCTGGTTTCCTTCACATTTCCATGGGTTTCACACATTCCAAACTCACCTCTCCTTCAAAGTTCCTTTTGAAATGCTCTCCCTTTCATGAAGCTTGCTCAAATCATAACTGTCTCTAAATTCTTAGCTTCTATTTGTACTTCTAGTTAGCGCCTATTAGATGTGCACACAAGCTGTGCTTGCCTAGTACACAAAAACTCTGCAAGGCAAAGGTCACGCCCTATCCTTATTTCCCATAGTAAATGGCAGTGCCAAGACTAGGGCAAGGCAAGAAGGGTGCCTCAGCAGCAAAAATTAAGAGGCGCTCATCTTCAGGTTCGGATTAACCACAGTGTCAGCACTTACATTTGGTACCCTAGGTGCCTCACTAGCCCCACGCTGGTAACTACATGTGACTCTTTGACATGGATTGAAAATAAATGAATCATAAACCAATGAATCAGTAAGATGATGACAGTGTAAGTACTTCAGGAGGTGATTCCTTATCTTCAATGTCAATGAAATTGGGGATAAGTGTAGAATGCAATCGCAATCAGTGAGACAGGAAGGCAAGGCTGTCAGGGAGTGTCTAGGAATATAAATAAAAACACCAGGAAGACTCTCCCCTCTTCTTCCACAAGATGCCATCCTGTCTGAATATGGCACCTGGAATTATTTACTGCAGCCACACTAGGAAGAGCCCGGGGATGAAACCAACAGAGAGCAGAAAGGCAGAGCCAAGAGAGAGGGAGCCGGGCCTGCCCATTCTCTGGACTTCTCATGGGAGACAATGGATCATTGTTATCAGCCTGTTTCCAGCCAGGGTTTTCCGTCACTTAGTTCAGCCAAAATAATACTGATATGGTGTCATTTCCCAGGAGAGAAGTGTGTGGCCGAAGAGGAAGCCAGGCGCCTACTGCACCTTTTCTTCCTTCTCCCAAGAGAAGGATGAATGGGTCAGAGGTAAACCTGGCCTCTGAACTCTTGCTCCTGAAAGCCTCAGGGGTCAGAACTAGCCACAGCCCCACCATGCTCCTGTCCCCCATGTGAGAAGCAGATCGCGCGGGCTCTCCAGCTGACCCAGAGAGAATGATAGTTCTCCAGCTGCTTTTCTTCAAACTAGCCAGAAGGAATAGGATACTGAGCTTCGGCCTGGTATCCAAAGTACATCCTCTGATGTAGTTTTAGCATTTGTAAAGTTGATTCTTTGATTCCCATTTGGCCCGTTCTGCCTGGTTCCAAACAAGTTAAGAGATAGAGGTCATTAGATACCCCCAAATTATTCTCAGAAAGTAATCATGTTACATTTCACCAAATTAGGAAAGTGGAGAAAGGAAAGACGAACAATTATTTTTATGAGAAAAAGTCTGTGGCATTTGAACTTTGGTTTCAGGCAAAGGTGGACTAACATGGGCAGGACTTAGCCTCACATGTGAAACAATGAAAAACCAGCACAAACACACGAAACGACAGCTCTTAGGACAGCAAACCTAAGACAGCAAAGGACAGTGAGCTCTGAGAAATGGGAAACAGGGTGTTCCGGAACTACAGCTGCACCAGTGCACAGCCTTGCGAGTGTTGACAAGTTATATCGCAGGGGAGGAGAACATACAGGAAGACCAGTGGTCTCCTTGAATAAGGAGAAAAAGCTGGGAGTCCAGGGATACCTCCGGAGGGTTCCCCCTGCAAGTCATCAGCTAAGTAACAAACACATGGGTACGAGGAAAGGATAAGCTAAGAACCTCTGAAACAATTAGAGGGCGTACCCATGGCTTGAAGAGAGCTGGGAATAATTTCCCTTGCTGTCAGTCCTACCTCAATAAACTGGTTCAAAAATACAATTAAAAAAAAAGTGTATTTTTCTACAAGTGAAGTGAAAACTCTCATAGTTCACTCAACATTGGGTAGTACACCCAGAGAGTGTTGCCTTGATGGTGGGGCAAAACCAGCCCCAGACTCCATTCTCTTCTGGTCCCACTCAACAGAGCTTCTTAAAAGCAAGACCGGAAAGGATCAAACTATTTATGAGTACTTTAATGACATCCAGAAACAAAGCACAGAAATATCCATAGGAATAAAAATATCTGGGGCACCTGGGTGGCTCAGTCGTTAAGCGACTGCTTTTGGCTCAGGTCATGATCCCAGGGTCCTGGGATCGAGCCCCGCATCGGGCTCCCTGCTCGGCGGGAAGCCTGCTTCTCCCTCTCCCACTCCCCCGGCTTGTGTTCCCTCTCTCACTGTGTCTCTCTCTGTCAAATAAAGAAATAAAATCTTTAAAAAAAAATATCCAACACCCAAGAAGATAGAATTCACATCTAATCAAAAATTACCAGGCATAGAAAAAAGTCGAGAAAAAAAGTTTCATCTCCTTTTTCACCCCATTCTACCTCCTCTCTCTTGTGCCCAGATCTGGCTGGAAGCACTTCCAACGAGACTACCCCCTACCCCAGAACCACAGCACTTCCCCTTGTGACTAGCTGACACAGACTCTTGCTGTCAAGCCCCAGCACGGGACTGGCCTGGGCTATGCTGAGCTCAATGGCCTTCTGAGCCTGCCCTTCCAGCCCCAGCCCTCTATGAGGGCGCCCTCATAGCCTAAGGCCTGAGGGACACTGTGCTCTCTTGCTCCCTTAGACACACCTGCCCGGGTGGACGGATACAGGTCAACCATGCTGGGGGGCACAGTGCCTGATAGCTTGACTAACCCAGAAACCATCCTTCCAGGGCACCTGGGACTTTTTTCTAAAAAACATACAGAACTGATAGGCAAGATAACATTTCTTTTTAATGAAACCGATATTTTCCCCCCTTTTTCTCTTTTGATTTAAGCAACCAGGCTGCTCTACTCTCATTGCCTCAGGAAAGGTGTGTCATAACCAGAGCAAATTATTATTTTTTTAAGAAGCTTTTTCCTGGCATTTATGTCTCCATGTCTATACAGTTCCTTAAAGAACAGAAAGGATTCTTAATAGAGATTTAGATTTGGAATAATTTTATAAAGGAAGTAACATTCTCCCTAATGTTTAAGGCTGGGCCTGAAACTTCTGAGGAGCCAGGAGAGCTGCCAGGGCCCGTGGATGACCCAGCGCCCACTCAAGGAAGCCCTCTGCATGGCCTGTGTCCAGCGAGAGCTCCCCTCAATAGCAGCACCAGTACTTTTGCCCACTGGCTGCTCCAAAAGAGAGGCTGCTTCTCTCTACCCTAGCACTTTGCATCCTTCTCTATCCAGCCCTATTACTAAGCATGGATTAATGGTCCTACAAAGTATCGCTGCCTAGCAACCTGGGGAAATCTTTGCGGTCCACTTCCGGGTGCGGGGGGAAGGCGGGGAGGCGGGATTTAAAACAAGTTAAACCCTCCTGAGCCCTGCACAGTGGCAGCCCCTTTCACTCCTCCCAGACCAGAACTTTCACCTCAACAGTTTTGTTCTCACGCTGACGCACACGTTCTTTTCAGCTCATCTCTCATTTGCCCCTTTCCGTTGTTTGGGCCAACTCTCTCTCCTGCCTCAGAGGAATCCTACGAATAACCAGTTGCACTGGGAATCCAAAACAACCTTTTAAGGCTACCCTTGAAGCCCATTTATAAAGCTGACTTTAGAGGGAAAAAAAATACAATTGGGAACCTCATGTTTTGAAACTTGAAACAAGCAGAAAGATTTATTGCTCTTAGGTTGGTTGATCCTACAAATCTTGATCAATGTTTAATGCAACCTAAAAGCAAAATAAAAAGTAAATACGATTTAATACAGTCAGAGTTGTGACTATGTAAATGAAGCTTTTTGATAGTTTCAAATTATTTCAAGTAAGATCCAAGCAAATGTTCTCAAGCATTTATTTTTTTAAAAGAGTTTTTATTTTTTATTAGAGAGAGAGAGTACTAGCAGGGGGAGCAGCAGGTAGAGGGAGAGGGAGAAGCAGGCTCCCCATTCAGCAGGGAGCCCGATGTGGGGCTCGATCCCAGGACCCTGGAACAATGACCTGGGCCGAAGGCAGCCGCTTAACTGACTGAGCCACCCAGGCGCCCCTCTCAAGCATTTATTAACCCATCCTTTCTTCTACTTCTCTTGCTCCCCTTTCTTATTGTTATCCTTCTGGCACTGGTGGGGGGGTCCTCTTCCTGGATCTGCCCCTTAAATGATGGAATTTCTAATGCATTCGCTGGAGCCTCGTCCTGCACACGCTGCACGCTCTCCGAGGTACCTTGCTCCCTGCCTCTCCTAGCTCCACAGAGCACATAGCCCATAACTGCTGCCTCCCCATCTCCTGCCTGGACCTCTCTCCTGTTGTCTGCACCGGTATCCCACATCAAGTGGTCATTAGCCAATTATATCTTCTTGTCTCAGGGTCGCCTGAAATTCAACATGTCCACAACTGAAGCCATCATTTTCATAAAACTTACTTCCTCTTCTTACTTTCCTCAACTCAACAAATGATTAAGCTCTTAGTTCAGTTGCCCAGGGCAGAAATCTGGGCATTCCCCTGGACTTCTTTCTGTCCCTCATCCTCCCAGCCAATATGGAATCCACCCAGTTCTCCCCATCTCTGCTGCCTACACCCTGGTCCTAGCCCTGGTCAGTTATCCTGCAGCTGGACCATTGTAAAACCTCCTAAGGGGTCTCCCCTTTCCACACCTGCCCACTCAAATCCTCTCTCCCTCCTCTAAAATCACCTCTCCAGTCCTTACATAGACTCTTTCAGTGACTCTTGTTGCACTTGACATACAGAGCACAGTGTAATGTGGCCTATAGCCACCTCTCCAGCTTCGAGTCACACAACCTCCCAACTCCATGCAACCCAGCCATAGAGCTTAACTACGCCAGGTCCTTGACAGCGTCTTGCTCTCTTCCATCTGCTGCGCTTAGCTCAGGCTAACTCCTCAAGCATCATTTCCTCAGGAAGACTCATCCAGGCCAGGCCCCTCCTCTCAGCGCACCTGTCCCCGGGCCCGAGCCCCCAGAGGGCAGGGACCCCATCTGTTCTGTTCACTGCTATTCGCTAGCTCCCTGCATGGTACCCAAACACCGACTGTTAATAAAAACGTCTCTACTCACTGATGAGCACCAAGCCCTTTCAGCTCCCCCTTCTGAACAGGCCGCCAACGCCATCTCGATCTGGATTACTGCACCGGCCTCTTCACCAGTGTCCTCATATCTCTCTCTGCATCCTCCCCTCTGTGCCGGCCTTTCTAAAATGCTGATTGCTGATTGCATCAGCCTCCACTGCCTTTAGGATAAAATCTACATACTCATCTGGGCACAAATTACCAAGCCTTTTATGGCCTGTTCCTGCTCCCTCCCCTGCCTGGCCTCCCCTCCCTCCCTGCCTCACACCCCCCACTCTCCCCTGGGGGAGTCTCATCCTGGCTATGCTCTCAGACCCTCCCTCTCCCACCTCCAGCAACCAGTCACCAGCTTCCTACGGGAAGCTTTCCCTGATAGGGAGGGCTCTTCCACTGGGCTGGCTACCCCACTTTGTCAGTGCACATGGTTAGGTCACTAAATGGACCCTCGGCCCAGACAGTCCTGGTCTATACCGGCAGATCTGGCTTAGTTATTAACAGCTCCCTTGTTCACTCTCAAAACCTACTGCTCTGGCTGATAAATCACTTGATCACTCTAGCAATGACTATTAATTGCTTGTCCGATTGTCTGCCCCCCTTCCCCCCTCCCCCAGACAAGGTAAATAACTATGTGTTTTATGCACAACAGCATCAGGCACAGTGCCTGGTACATAGAAAACACTGTATGTTTATTAAACAAGCAAATGTACTTGTATACTGTAAAAGCATGCACTTTCATTAGGATACTTATCTGGTTCTAGTGTTTGCCACCAAGAATCAATTAGCTGCCCCACCCCCACCCACCCCCGAAATTTAACGTAAAAATTATGTATTTCACCAAAGGATTTTAAATATATATTTGGAAGAAATTTTGAGATTTTCAAAGCCTAAGTCCAAAATATATAAATCACCTTCTGCACAAGGGCACACTGTGACCAGCTCCTCTCCCATCAGTGCTGACACATTTGCAAGGAGCCAGACATGTGCCCACCCTGACCCTTGTGGCTGGCAGCACACATTCACCAAAGGGCAGATGGCCCATCAGGAATAGATGGTCAGCACCCAGGGAACTGATTTTCTTTCTCTGACACTAAGGGCTCATTTGCCAGCCAACCCTGGCCTCCTATGCACTAGGCTTTCCCAAAGTCCAAAAGAAAATTTGTTTTTCACCAGCCACTTTCTTGAAGATACTTACATCAGATAGCATCGGCTCATCAAGTTCTTCCACTCTGCTCAGATTAGGTGCCCCATATCGATCACTAATTTCCGCTAGTGTTTTGCCTGAGTCTGATGTTACATCCTACAATTGTTAAAATTCATTTCTTAATTTTAAATGAGTTCAAAAGTAAGACATTAATTTTCTTTTGATTTCGCTAAGAAATGTCTGAATTATAACATCAAAATTCAACATTAACGGAATGCACCACTACCTGTTAATAGAGAATTCTAGAAATAAATGCTAAAACTTAATTAAAAAGTACATTAAGAAACTTAAGATATATCATTGTAAGTAAACATATGGTCAATGAATATCTCATGACATTCTGGTTTTTAAAAATACAAACAGAAACCGAATGTCCCATTTTTATTAACACTTTGAGATATTGCTTTAAATCACATGGTACTTGTGAATTTTTGTTACTAGAACACATACTTGGACTATCAATTTTGATAATTTCCTTATAAAAAGTTTAGCTAGTAATGCATCAATGTTAAGCTTTGCCTTCTAGGACACTCATTCATTTCACTTAACACAGAATAACTTTTCCTTCTCACCTCTGAATGTGAACTATCTTCACTCTTAGCTATATTTTCTATATTCATTCTCATCTCCTATAATATATAAAAATGAAGAAAGATATTTGAACACACTTTCCATTTCGATTCCATGTTTTATTTTCAAGAAGTTTTATTTTTACATAATGCTATGATCAATTCAACAGCAAATAGGTCATCACTCTTAAAGGGGTGATGTGAATACATTTAGTACAAAACTGCAACTCGCAGTCTCATTTAACACTTGCTACTAATAGAAAGCTGTGTTTTATTTATAATTAAACACAACGCCTTAAAAAATGAAATGATCTGAAACTTTAAACCTGAAGCCAAATTATTAGCCAATGTGACAAGTGACAAAACAGAAACCTTTCTTCTCTCATTTTACATCACTGAATCTTCGCTGAAGAGAAAGGGGGTCTATATCTCCATGGATTTATGGGCATGGGCACATGCGTGTTTATCTTTGCACACCCTACCGCACTCCGACTAAGATAAGCTCAACATCCCTGTTTTTGTTAACTACGTGTTTTTTTAAACTATGTATACAGCTTTGAATTTCTCTTTTTAAGAATCTCATTTTTTTAATTCAATTCGTCCTTCCAACTTTTAAAAAAGTGCTTTACATAATGATGTTCTCGTCTAAGCCATGAATACCCATATTTTATAAAACCTACTTCTGTTTTTAATCTTAATTATGGAGTAAATAGAGGAGTCACATATGAACAAGAGAGACCGACCGGCTGGGGGGCACCTGGGTGGCTCGGCCGGTTAAGCCAAATACCCTCACTATTACAAAGAACTTAACTTTGCGCATCCGCTACCCCAGTTAGGAACAGCTGTGCCTGGACTGGAAGGTTGCTTTTACCACCATGAGAGAACGCCGCTGCTCGCAGAGCAGTTTCACACATATGACCATAGCTGATCCTTACAACAAACCAGTGAGAGACTGTTAGTAATATATTACACTGTTATCCCTCTTTTTCAAAAAGGCAAACTGAGGTTGAAAAAGTTGTAAGACTTGTCTCAGCCACGCAGCTAGTGGGTGGCACGTCTCTGAATCCCACGTTATAACAGCTGCAAGAAACACTTTGAGGGTTCTATGAGGTTTTAAATAAAACAGACTTTTTCTTTTTTTTTATAAAACTTCAAATTACCGTCTCTAATTGTTCTTGAGCTCTCTGTAGTTCTTCTATTCTTTGTCTCTCTTTCTCTTGCATTTCCAACTCCAGCTGGAACTCCAGCTGTTGCTGAATATTCAGAAATAAATAAGTCATATTAGCGTCAGATCAATTGCAAGGAATTAACTCTAATCACTCTGAAATGTCCCCGGATAATCAAGTTTATACCTACCTAAATTTCAGAAGCTTACAAGAATAAATGATCACAGCCACCTAATACTTTAGCTTTTACAAATACTTCCTGAAGTCTAACATAAAAAAGGAAGCTTCTTTAACCGCTAATTGGTAGCAAAGCACAACTGGTACAAAATCAAGTTATTTTCTCTGTTCTCCTTGAAGCAACAAATGAGATTGCAGTACTTTTTTTTTTTTTTAGATGAAATCCTTTCAAGCATAGATGGGTGTTCAAAGAGCCAAACCTTAGTTGCAGAAGAGTGCATGAGAAAATCTTAAGTATATTATGCGAAACTATAGATAATCAAAAATATACTGGTCCCAACTCAACATATATGCCACACTAGAATAAGGGTCAGCAAACTAAATTCTGTGGGCCAAATCTGACCCAATCCTGTGTTTGGACAGCCCATGAGCTAGGAAAGGTTTTACATTTTCAAACGGTTGAAAAATATTGAAAGAATAATAGTATTTCCTGACACTATAAAAAATTCAAATTTCGGTGCCTATAAATGAAGTTTTATTGAAACACCATCATGTTCATTTGCTTACTTATTGTCTGTGACTGTTTTTGTACAATAGCACAGTTGAGTGGTTGCAACAGGGACCCTAGATGGTGCTCTCATCACTTTGTTGCTCAGCGTGCTACAAATCACAGTGACATCATTTTATCTCAGGAGTTCTTGGAGTGCCACGGTATCCCTACACCATGACAGTTTTTAAATTGGTGTGTACCCATCATGTCATAACAAGAGAAGAAGTGGACTTTGAATGGCGCCCCTTTAAGATACAGTGGAGAGTATTTTATTACCAAATTAAACGGCAAAGTATGGTGTTTATTAAGCAAGAATACTTTACTAAAAGAATGCAATAAACATCAATATTACCAGACTAAACACTTACCATCACAGTATTCTCAACTCACATGAAAACAAAGGTCAGACATATTAGAATATTTTAAACAGAATTATTTCATCATAGTAAAATTTCTTCACAAAAATTACAAATAAAAATGAGGCTGCAACAAAAGCAAGTTTCCAAGTGGCTCATTTGTTAGCCAAGCAAAGAAGTTCATTTCCCAATGGTGATTTAATTAAACCATGTTTGATTTCAGTGTTCTGAAAAAAATAAACTTAAATTAAGATTATTAGCCTTTTGGCGAAAACAGTTGCTCAAAGAGTTGATGACACTGGGAGCAACATCAACAGTCAATTAAAAACAAGGCAAATTATTTTGAGCAATTTTCCTTGGCTCTTGATGGGTAGACAAATGTTCCCAACACTGTTCAGTTGTTGCTGTTTACTGGCATTAATGCTGAGTTTGAAGTGACTGAAAGATCAGCCTCTATGCATAGTCTTCATGGGACAACTACAAGCAAGAGATGTATTTTCTTTATCTTCTTTCTTTTTTTTTTTTTTAGCAGAGGGAGTGCATGCATACACACTGTGGAGGGGAAGGAGGAAGAGAATCTCAAGCTGGCTCCATGCTCAGCGTGGAGTCCAACCCAAGGCTTGATTCCACAACCCTGACATCATGACCTGAGATGAATGAAGTCAAAAGTTGGACTGAACCACCAAGGTGCCCCAAGCAATATTTCCAAAGAAGTTGAGAAACATTAATTCAGGACAGCCAGCAGTGAAACCTGCTAAGATGTGTTACAACCAATGGTGATAAAAAATGTGTGTGGAACAGAAAGAGGCTTAGTTGGACAAATTTACAAAGCTTGTGAAAATGCAGTGTTGAAAGCCTAAGAGTATTCATTGTGTTATTCAACAGCAGGTGCTCTGCAGAAAATGCTTGAATCTGTCATGTGCTATTGAGCCAGCAGAGCCAACAGTGTCCTTCATTCATTCTTAAGAATGCAACCATCATCAGTTCTGTGGATTTTGTCAGAAACAGAAACTGAATAAATCTTGGCTTGCCCCAGCACACAGCAGTTGCATATGGCTTCACGGGGCTGACGTGTTACTGTGCATTGTGGGGCTCAGGACCGAGACCGGAATTTTTCCGAATGAGAAGAATCATTCTCAGTCATTCTCAATCACTATGATCAAACCTTAAATGGCTTTGGAAATAAGCTTTGCTGCAGACTTAATAATATTTTTAAGTCAATTCAAACTAAACTTACAAGGCAAATAGCACTCAAATGGAAAACTTCACACCTGGGGAAAGCCATTTGAACAACTAATGTTTGAATCACAATGTCAAGCTGCTTTATACACTTCCCATGTAGTCAAAACCTAAAACAAGAAATAGATCCCCCAAATTCCCACACAAATCTGCAGCAGGTATATTTCCCAAGCTCAAACTATAGGCCCAGAGTATTTTGTGGCCTTGATTTCAGTGCAAATGAAATTTCCATATCCCCAAATCAAGTTAACTGGGTAATTGAGAAGCTTTTACCAACCTTCAATTGGAAGTGATTAATCTACAAGGTAATGATATGCCAAAAGGCAAAACAAGATAAAAATCTAATAGAATTCTACATATGCATTCCAAGAGATAAATATGGTCAAAATTATATGCACATGGACTGATATCAGCATTTGGCAGGACTAATCTCTCAGCTATTTTCAAAGAGGAAATACTAAAATCTCATTACAGATCAGCATTAACAGATAAATGTTTTCAATCAATTTTGATGATAGGGAACGTTTTGAACTCCAACTAAATGAAATGTTATCTCTAAAAAAATTATTTAATTCTCCTCAGCAGTAAGCCTATATTCCAAAAGGAAATTGTATTCAATTATTATTTAAAAAAAAATTTTTATTTCATCAATGCAAATTTTGTGGAAATTTGTTCTCTCTTGCTATATCTACATAATATATCATAATACATACATGTCCCAGTATGTCTTGCAAACGCATTTTAAAAAAATAATACATTTTTATAAATAAAGAGATAATAAACAGTGGCTACTACTTATTTACAGAAGGTTGTTAAAGGGAATTTCTTAGTAACTCTGTATTATCCACACTGGGATAAAAGTGATGGGGTAGATGGTTGAAGTGCAAGAACGTAGCATTCGATCCACTTTCAGAAACTGGTGGAGGAAGTGAAATGACTAATCTCTCAACAACACTGCAAAATGCAGTTGTTAAATACCAACCACATTGGTCAACAGAACCAATTTCTTAACATTTTCAGGAAAATTTCAAAGCTCACTTTCTTTCTTCACACAGGAGTAAAACCATTAGAAATAGACTCCAACAAGTCAAACAAACAAACCAAAAAGCTTTTACTTCCTCAGTGAGCTCTTAGGTAGAAAATGGCAGTCAAAATACTTCTCTGTTCTCAGGGCCCTGGGCTTACTGGAGAGTGCCTGAACTTTCAAGGAATTTCAAGTCAATGGCACTGACTGTGAGAACAACAGGGAGGGGACCGGAGTCCTGACGCCCCAGCTCACTTGACTCAATGGTGGGCTCAGAACCCCTGTCTCTTTGCATCTCCAGCTCACTCTCTCTTAAGCTCTTCTCCAGTGGACCTTCTCTCCACAGGTCCCTTTTTCCTTCTCTCATCTATTTCTGGCCACTACACTGTTTCTTTAATGGGTCATAAAATCTTGTGCAGACTGTTATTGCCATCTTCCACTCTGGACCCAATGTTCAGGGTTCAGTGCCCAGGGGATCCCTTCATACTGATGAACACAATACAGCTAGAGAAGTGCTTGATTTCTACCATTGCCAAATTTTACCTAAGTGAGATAAAGTAGATGAGCCAAAGAAAGTCAAGTACCCCCACATTTGTGATGGAATTGTCTTAGGGAAGGAGAACTGCTGAGTTCTCCTCATTCTGAGAGACAGGGGACAGATACTAGCTGTAGAAGCTATAAGAGGAAGGGCAGATTCTCACTCAAAGTTGAGCCAATTCTGCAGCAGATGCTCACCCATTTGGATGATTGTTTGACACCCAACTCAATACTCTGCAACCTCCCCATAAGAATAAACCAAACGATTGAAAAACGAAGATTCAGGAACAGTAAAGTTTTCAACAGCCATATCCATCTCGGGTGCCTAGAAAGTTCTACCCCAGTGTCAGGGACGAGAGGTTAGGCAGAGAAGCTATTTGCCGTGTCTATATTTTCCTTTTTATCCACACACCCAAATAATAGGCTTCTTTCCCTTTTACAAGTGTGTAGATTTGAGTCGAGACTCTAGGGTTAAGTACTATGTGGTAGAACCAAAGGGATAACTTGAATTTCAGAAGCTCTCCATAAGATAAATTAGTCCAAAAGCCACTCTGGAACTTTCCCTATCTAGTTTACAATCCGTGACTCATCCCTGAAACCATCTCTTACCAATATCTTCAGCTCCCCAATCCTGCTACCCCAAACGTACTTCAATCAAAAGTTCTGCCCCTTCCACATCGTCACTCAAATCTCTAGGCCTAAGTGGAGAAAATCACAGAATCGTAAAACCAAACCAAATGGCAACAGTATAAATGTCTGGTCTCTAGCTCTGACAGGGTACTCAATGCTACCAAGGAAAGCTAAATTTCCCGGTCAACTCTACCATTCTTCACAGTTACCATTTCAAACCCTCCCCATGCTCCTCATTCCTGCCACTTTATCACCTCATTCTTGGAAGATGATCACGGTCCCTACTTCATAAAGAAGAAAGAGTCATACAGAAACTGTTTTAGACCTTGTGCCACAAAACCTATACATCCACACGTACCTAGACCATCCTCTCCCTATCTCTTAACATCAATCATCCTCTGCCCTCTGCTCCCCGCTCCAAAAAAAAAACCCAACCTCCTTCCCTGAAAATCTCCTTGAAAGCATTACCTGCACTCACCATCTCCCCTGTTCCACCCCACCCCATGCACACTGCTCCCTCCAAGGTCACCAGTGGTCTTGAATGAGCACTTTGCAGTCTTGCTCTCACTAAACCAGCAGTGGGCATGGTCTCTCCCCATGGCCTCCATGAGAGCACACTCCCTGGGTCTTCCTCCCACCCCACTGCTGCTGTTTCTCCAGCAAAGAAGACACAGATACAGAAATACAGAAACATGAAGATATAAGAGAGCCATTCCTAACTCATTAGAGATAGGGAGTTTTTCAACATTTGGGTTGCACCACACTGAGGCGGACACCACTAGCTCCAGTCACCCCTGAACTCCCATGCTTGTCTCACCTGCTGGAACAGAAGCTCCTCTGCTTTGAGCCTCTCCGTCATTTCCTGCTGTATCACAGCTAGCTCTCTCTCACGCTCCAAGTCGACCATTTCCTTCTGTCTCTAGCAGTGTTTAAAAACAATGTCACGTGACTAATTTGATAAAACGATTTATAAAAACAATCTGGAAAACATGTTAATCACCAACAAGAGAGAAAGGGGAAGCAAATTTTACTCCACCCCATTTAGAAAATGTGTAATAATTTGGGGAAATGTGTGTTTTATTTGAACAAAGAGCATAAAATTAAAATTATACCCCGGGTATGATCACAATTGTGTAAAAAAAAAAGTCTACAAATGTATAGAAAATCTATAGAAAAAAGATTAGAAGAAAATACCTAAAAATCTAAAAAGAGGTCTTCTGTGAAGTATTTTTTCTTCTTTCCGTTTTTTCATATTGTCCAAGTTTTTCATAATAAACGTACTACTTTTATAATAGAAATAACATTGAACTTTTTAAAAAGGCAGACAAATGGGAACAATTATTTTACGCTTCTAATTTTCTAAAAGAAGATCCCTACTTACCAGTTGCTCCATGGTCACATTTTCCTTATATTTGTAAATCCACAATGCTAAATATTCTATTGGATCCACTGGGCGAATTCTTGCCACTTCGGCAAGACCTTGAGTTAGACATGTCCCAAGGCACTTTTGAAGATATATCGACTCCATTTCTCACCTCTGACTTCTAAAAGGTAAATGTTTTTGCATTAATGCAGGGAATGTTCAATAAAGCACAATAAAAGTAGAGTCCAATGAGGCCAACAAAGCATTGCACCCTGGCATGGGCACCTCCCATCAGGGATGACACAAGCAAGCTGGCTCCATGAAGCTTCTAACAGTTTCCAAAAAGACTCCACAAATGTCACAACAGCTACCTCTAAGATGTACTTTCAAAATCCTGATGGCTCTCAAGGCCAAGAGTCAGAAAAGAACAACAAACAAAACCCCGAACCAGCAAAGGGAAGGAAATAACAAAGATTAGAGCAGAAATAAATGATATAGGAGCTAAACAAACAAAAAACAATGAAAAAGAAAAGAGTCAGAAAAAGGGATACCGTCATTATTGTGAGATGGCTACATGCCAAGTGCATGTCTCACTTGATCCTCACATGGGTAATAAATCAGTGTCATTACCCCCGCTGTGTAGATGAGGAAGCCCAGGCACAAAGAGCTTATAAGTCAACATGGTGAACATGGGATGCATATCCAAATCTTGATTCCAGAGTCATTATCTTAATGATTCAGATGTTCCTACCAGGCCACGAGGGTCAGTTTTAGAAAACATCACAATACTCCACCTCAAAAAAACACAAAAGTCCATGAATCTCCAAGGACAAAGGATAAAAAAAAAAATTCAACCATCAAAGAATAGCATATGAAGCTCCTCACACTTTGTCCCCAATTTCTTCTCAGGCTCACCTCCAGACATCTCTTCTGCCTCCAGCATATCCTGGGCTCTAACTACAGTGAACATTCTGCCATTCTGCCAGTCATACCTTGCACACTTCCATCTCCAAGACTTTTGCACATAATTATCCCTCACTATCTCCCAGCTTAGATTTATCTCCTCATCTGCAAAATGTAGGTCACCTCTCATTCCCTGAGCCTTACCAAGCAATGCAAAGGAAATCCTCCTTCTCCAAGCAACTCGCACAGCACCTGTCATCCAACCTGAGAATCATCTGTGTACACACACATCTGTCCTCCCACGACAAGTTCCTCCAGCTCCTCAAGGAGTGTGTTTTAATCACAGGGTGAGCACACTGGCTTCCCTTGGAGGCAAGTGAGTGAGTTTCTCCACTCTCCCAGTAATGTTTCAGTATATTCAGTTATGAAGATGGACAAGAATAATCTTAGACCAGATTTGAAGGAAGGAAAGAAGGAAGGAAGGGGAAATGTAGCAACCACTGTACTTTGGGTGATTTGAAAAAACTGATCACCCTCAAATTATCCTTATGGAATCCAGTCATTTCTAAGAATCTAATGAAATGTATTCATTATTCAACAAATATATACTGAGTACCTACTATAGGTCAGGCATGAGCTGAATATGAAGGAATAGAATGCCAGCATGTCTAGTCCTGTCCCTGTACAAATAAATGCACTGAACATTCTGCATAAAATTTCAGAAACAACAACCTCCTGAGGTTCATAAACCCCAATAGTGCTCTCACTTGATGGTGGTGAGCGTATAAATTGGTATAGCCCCCACAGAGAGGAATTTGGCAATATCTAGAAAATTACATAGGTATTTACCCTTTGAACCATCGATCTCACTTCTCACATGTTAACTTGCAAAAATACAGAGTGATGATATATGCACATAGTTATTTTGCCCCGTTACTTAAAATAGTCAACCCCATCCAAAAGTTCATCCTTAAGGGACTGATGAGATACAGCCACACAATGGATTACTGTGCATATATATTATATAAAAGACGTGAAGAAGATCTCTAAAACAGGGAGTGATCTCTAGGACATAGTGTGAAGTGAAAAAAAAGCAAGATGCAGAAATTGTACATAGTATGCCACCTTTTGTATTAACAGCAGTGGGGAAAGGAATGTGTATGTGTGTACATAAATGTAGTCATAAAAACTTAGACTCTACAAACTGGCACGAATGAACTGAATTTCCTTTCAAGCTGGCATTGGTGTCTAACCATACAGAGAGAAGGATTATAGTATTACAAATGAGTTTGAGACACAGTATCTACACTGTGCTTCTTCAATGGGATATACTCTCAAGACAAAAGTAACTGCAGTGACATCTCAATGTCATCCAAAACGTAAAACAGGTTTCCTGCTGCTGTTCCAGAAAGATAATACATGGGAAAGGGACCATGTCCCCAAGGGAGAAACCTCTGGCCTGAGAGTAGCATCCGATCGAGGGTCTGTCTCAGATCTATGAGCATAGATTAGCTGAATCCAGGTAAGCTCGTTAACTTAGCTTCTCATGTTTCCGGTCCATGAAATGGAGGTAATAGCCATCTCATAGGTTGTTGTAAGGAATGTTAATTTTCATATACACCAACAGGCATCTCGGCTCAATATAAGAAAGCCCTTTCCCAGAGAAACAGCTACCTCAAGCCTGGAGAGGTTGTCACAAGAAATAGAAAGAAGTCCTTTACCCATGCCTAGGAGAAAGCCCGCCAGCCTAGTGGGAAAAGAGGGGATTCGGGATTCGGGATTGCCAGACGTAGCACATAAAAATACGGGATGCCCAGTTCAACACAAATTTCAGAGAAAGAAGGAATGACGTGTTAGTACAGTGTAGTATAATACAAAATCATTCGTTGTTTATCTGAAATTCACAATGAACTGGGTGTCCCGTGTTTTATCTGGCAACCCTCGATTGGGGGCGCTTGGGTTCATTTTCCTATCCTGGGTCTACCGAAGAGACTCCCGCCTTCCCCGTCCCCTCGATCCGGAACGGCGAGGCCAGCGGAGGAGATGGGGGTGGGGGGGGAGGAGGAGGAGGAGGAGAAGGAGGAGGAGGAGGAGGAGGAGGAGGAGGCGGCGGCGCTCCCCAGGCGCTGCACTAAAACTTCTCTCCGCCCGGAGAAGCCTAAGCCCCACACCGCTCACAAGGTCCAACGGCCCAAACAGCCGCCTCTGCGGGAGCGCCGCCAAGCACCAACAACCTGTCTGGGCGAAGGGCGCCCGCGCTCTGGATGCGCACACCCGACGCGTGCGCCTACCCTCGCCCCGCGAGTCGCGTCCCGTCGCTAGGCAACGAGCGCACGCGCCTCAGAACCCGAAACGGCGCACTGCACAAGGGCAGGGGCGCGCGGAGGGGTGAGCGCGGGGTGGGGCGCCGGGAGCGGGTGAGGGGTGGAGAACTCGCGGCGGAGAGGAGGGGGCGTGACAGTCGCGGGCAGATGGCGCGCGCGGGGTGTGGCGGGGGCGCCCCACAGAGGAGGGAGCGCCGGGGTGGGCTAGCAGACACTCGCCACCTGGAGGCTGGGAGGAGGGGGCGGCAGAGAAGAAGAGGCGAGCCGGCTAGGCCGGGGCGCACTGGGAGAGACAGGGGCGGCGGGCTCGAGAGGAGGAGCCGCAGGGGCCACCTGCCCACCCAGGGCGAGAAACCCCCACAGCCCCCGGCCGGAGGAGACGATCCCCGGAGTTCGATGGCCCGGGATTTTCACGGCTTCGCACCTTTGAGATTGCTGGTGACCTCCGCTTGGTTCCTTTCAGAACCAGCTCAGGCGCCCCCACCTCCGGGAAGCCGTCCAGCCTCCACCAAGCCAGAGCCATTGCAGTCTTCCCTGACCTAGTGTTTTGTGTACAGCACTCTGCTAGCATTTCCCACGTTCTGTTTTAATTTATGCTGGGCAGTGCTGGGCAGGAGAAGCCGCCTTAAACGTTGGTTGAGACAATAAGTACCAGAGTGGGCACTGACAGATGGACGGGAGCTTGGGCTCTTGCCTGGGTTAGCAAGAGCCTTCACTGGATTAAGTCAAAAAATATGTCCTGAGCACCTACTGTGTGCCTAGCACTGGTGGTATAGTGTGAACAAAGACCATCTCTATGCTTGTTGCCCTGCCTACCGAGTTGCAAGGCCATGAACAAGGAGGGGCAGTGTAAGCTGACTCCCGGAGGAGCTCTGGGAAGAATAGGCCCCTCCGCCTTGGTAAGTGTGCTTGGTGTTTGTGGAGAGAGGGCTGTAAAAGGCATCCCTTTGGCCCCCTCCCTCTCCTGGCCTCACACTGTGGCTCTGTTATTCTGTCCCTACTGTCTTTGCATCAAGTTTTAGTAACTGTCAGGGCCCCTATTTCATTGAGACCATTGTTGAAAACGTGCAATTTAGAGCAGAGACTTACTCCAGAAAGCCTTAGCCATACCTACACAGAGAAGCAGGCATTTGAGGGTTGGGAAGTGGAGAGCTTTTCCGGAATGCAGAGTTGGTGATCTGTAGATCTGTAACTGAATCACCCGGGGATTTTGTTAGAATACAGAATCTGAATATGTAGGTGTGGGGTGGGACCTGAGAATCTGCATTTTGACAATCCTCCGGGTGATGCAATGCTGCAGATCATGGACCACACTTGGAGTGAAAGGGAACTGGATCCCAGGACCCTGAGATCATGACCTGAGCCGAAGGCAGACACTTAACCAACTGAGCCACCCAGGTGCCCCCCAAATTTAGTAGCTTTAAACACGCATTTATTCTCTTGGCAGTTTTTGAAGCCAGAATCAAAAATGAGTCTTACAGGGCTAAAACCAAAGTGTCAGCAGGGCTGGTTCCCTCCACAGGCTCTAGGGGAGAATCCATGTCCTTGCCTTTTCCAGCTTCACAGGCTACCCACAATCCTTGGCTCAAGGCCCTGAATCACATCATCTTTTCTCTCTCAACTTCCACCATCACATCTCTTTGTTCCCTGTCTGACCTTACTGTGTCCCGATTATAAAGACCCTTGGGATTACAGTGTGCCTCCAAGGATAATCCAGTATTATCTTCCAATATAAAAATCTGTCATCACATCTGCAAATCCCTTTTGCCAGACAAGGTAACAGATTTCATAGGTTCCAGGTATTCGGACACTTTGGGAAGCCATTACTCAGTCCTACCACACTGTATATTTCCAAAGAAAAATTACATTTTCTTACTCATATTTCATTGACCCAACCCAGGATATTTAACTTTGATACACTTTTTGGGGGGGCGGGGAGGGTGGACATGAGGGCAAGGACATGAGGGCAAGCAGGGAGAGGGGCAGAGGAAGAGAGAGAGAATCTTAAGCAGACTTCACACTCAGCACAGAGGACTTCATTCACACTCAGCACAGAGCCTGACGTGGGGCTCAATCTCACGACCCTGAGATCATGACCTGAGCCAAAATCAAGAGTCAGACATTTAACCGACTGAGCCACCAGGCACCCCAACCTTGATACACTTCTATTATGTCATGTACAATTCACATTCAGTTTCCCCAACAACACTTTATAAAATTCTTTTTTCTGGTTCAGACTCAATCCAGAGTCATGTGTTCCATGCATTTGTTAGGCCTGTTTAGGCTCCTTTGATCTGGAATGGTTCCTCCTCTTTTTTTGTCTTTCACGATCTTGACATTTCTAAGAGTACGGGCCAGTTCCAGACTGTCTCTCAATTTGGCTTTGTTCGTATTTCCTCAGTTAGATTCCAATTTTGCATTTGGGCAAGAATCCACAGAAATATATTTCATCCCCCTAAGAAGTGCATCCCATCAGGAGACACATGATGTCACTTTGTCGCTTTCTTAATGATGTTTCCTTACATGGCTTGATTAAGGTTGTATCGGGCGGGTCTCACCACTGTAAAGTTCCTGTATTTCCTTTTGGAATTAATACATAATTTGTGGGGAGAAACTTTGAGGCTATATGACTATCCTATTCTCTATCAAATATTCATTGAGTTTTAGAACTCACTGATGATTCTGGCTTGATGCAGTTATACTGTGATGGTTACAAAATGTTGATTTTTTTTAAACTCCATTATTCTTCCCATGTTTATTAGTTGACATTCTACCTTAAGAACTTGCCTTCTCTCCCATTCACTCACTTACCAATTTTTTCTTATATTGATTCACAGATTTTTTATTTTACCCAATTAGTTACAATCCATTATAGCCAGTATTTATTTCAATGGTCTAATTGCACTAGATTGGGTGAGTAGCCGCCCAATCTGCTGGCTCCTGTGTCCTTAACCACTTATTTTCTAGCATTTTTCTACTTTGTGGGACAAGAAAATGCTCCAGGCTTCTTGGACCTTTCCTGCCCCAACCTTAGAATTCAGCATTTCTCCAAGGAACCCTGATTGTTCTTAAGTGGTGAAGGCTATTTCAAAGCAAGTTCCCTACACTCAGTGTGCTCATTGCTACTTAAGTGTTTTTGCCTCTAGTCTTTTGCAATGAAAACAGCTAGGAAATATATAACTTTTTTCTATATACATATCTATGTATCTTTCCTTCCTTAAACTGAAAAACGCCTCCAGAAAATGTTAAGACTGGAACCGAGCCTTTATTATGCATTTTATTATTAACTCTTTTGGACTTAAAATGTGTAAATTTCAGAAATATGGAGGTGATCAGAAATAGGTGTTAGTCCATCGTATGTCACAGTCTTCCACTATAATAGCTAATATTTGTTAAACACGAACTAGGGCACCTGGGTGGCTCAATCGGTTAAGAGTCTGCCTTCGTTCGGCTCAGGTCATGATCCCAGGGTCCTGGGTTGGAGCCCCACATCAAGCCCCGCATCGGGCTCTCTGCTCAGTGGAGAGCCTTCTCCCTCTCCCTCTGCCCCTCCCCTCTGCTCGTGCTCTCTCTCTCTCTCTCTCTGTCAAATAAGTAAAAAATCTAAAATATGTATGTATATATTTATTAAACACCATGTGCCAGGCTAAGTGCTTTACATGTATTTGTTATCTCTTCTAACCCCCACAATTATGAGGCCCGTATCTTTATTGTTTTGTTCTACAGATGAGAAAAACAAGGCTCAGAGAGACCGGATGACTTGTTGAAGATCACACAGCTAAAAAACGGCAGCACCAGGACCAGAACTTGGTCTGTCTGTTCCCGGAGTCTGTGTTCAGACTGTGGTTCTACGTGGCCACCCTTAACTTATGGTCTGACTCAGGCTACATTGCCTCTAGCTCTGATTAATAGTAAATGCCGGGGCATCAGCTCAACCTCAAGTAGTTTCTTGCTTGAGCACTAGAGTAGAATAGTCTGTTATGCACTGGCAGAGCTCATGAGCATGGGTAGCTACAGTGCCTGCCATTCTCCCTCCCTCTGCTCCCCAGGGCTTCTCCGTGGCCCCTTCTGAAATAAATAAGCCTTTCTTATCTATGTCACAGATGACTGTACCTTCCAACCTCACACAGCTTGCTGGGTCCTTAGAACCCCTCCTGGGACCTCCTGCCTGTGAAAATATTTCCTCCCTAGAGATGTGTGGGTAAGGGGTAAGTGGAGACCTTAGCCACCCTTAACCGCAACTATATCAAGCTCCCCTCCGGCCTCATGACCCCCAGGACCTATTTATTATCTGACCTAAGACAGTCGGAGAGTTTTTAAAAAAAAGTCCATTTAAATGTAAGAGCAATTGGCAAGTATGTATTTACTGTTTTTTTTGGGAAGGGTGGCATCCAGAAGCATCTCATATGTATCTTGAAATAAATCCAAATTGACTAGAATGTGTCTATTTTAAAAATCAGATTCCATTTATAAGGTAGTGTGACCCCGGGCCCACAAGGATGGAAACTGACTATCTGAAGAGGTGCTTTGGCAATTGCCTGAGCCAGGCACTGGCAGAGGTGGCGAAGGTTCGGCCCAGTGATCCCGTTGAATACCTGGCTCACTGGCTTTATCATTACAGGAAAACCACTAAAGCAAAAGAAGAGGTGTGTATGTGCTCAGAGTCGTCTTGGGGAGGGCTTTCCAGCTTTCTCACAGTAATTTGAAATCCAAAGCAAGATTCCAGAGCTAGCCCAGAAAGTTTCTTGGTTTTTTCAACTTGCGAGATCCGTTAGGCCCAGATATTCCTGAAGAGTGGGGAGTCTGGGGGCTGAAGAAGGACTCCAACTCAGAGGAGTTGAGGGATTGGTGGGTTTGGAGCTACTGGCAGGCAAAAGCTGGTCACAGGAGCAAACAGGGCCCCCGGCCTGTGGTCTGTCCCAGTGAGAGCAAGCCCATTTGTACAGGCTTCCCAGGGGCTGACCTGACTCAGCTCCCCTCTCACCTCAGGAGAGCCAAGAGATGATCCAGCTGAAGGAAGAACACGATAATAGCCTCAAAGAAACCAAAATGACAGAAATGCTGAAGCAAGAAGAGTGTCAGATTCAACAGCAGTATGCAAAGTGCACAAGGTAGGGAGGGAGGAACCCAGCAGCAGGCAGGTGCACAGCCCAGAGCTGGATACCAGGAAATCCACAGGCCAGCGAGGCCACAGCACCCAGCGGACTGAGGCTCCTAGAGCTTGCTTCTCTCCATCTTCTTATGTTTATATGTCCACCAATCTTATTGACAATCCTGGTCAATGAAAAAAGGAAATGTCAAGAGGCAATTCCATTTTAGATTACAGGAAATACCTTAGATGTTACTCATTTTAAAAAATCAGATTTTTAAAAACTCATAAGTCACTTGGAACTAATATATATTTCCTTACAAGATCCTTTGAACCCTTTTCAAAACTTATTCAGTATTTCAGAAACCAAATATGGTTATCAGTGTATAATTCGGGTATATTATTTTATTTATTATCTACTATATACCTCAGTGTTTTAGTTACTGTGTGCTATTTATTTATGTATGAAGCCACAGATTGTGTCTTCTCTGTGATGCTGTAATACTGGTTGTAAATTATTACCTTCTTGTAGTTGGAAACAGCTGTGTGTTCATTAGCCTGACAAGCTTATCTTTTATTTCCCATGACTTTTGCCACCACCTTCTGAAAAGTACCTCGCGCAGATGTTGTGCTTTCTACAAAGTGCATGATACCGGACAGGGAATCGACTCACGGGGCTTGATATCTGACATTTTTCCAACTATCACTATATACTGTGCATTAAAATCTTCAGTGCAGTCTCGTACAATTCACGAGCTTTTGCTAGTTTCCAAAGCCGCCTCTGGTGAAGAGACATGAAACCCTGTCTAACCACACTAATATGCTCGACTCTCCTCAATAATTCATAGATTTATTTAACAAGTTTGGATGTTTTATGGGTAAATTAAGTCAAAAGAAAGGTAGTTTCATACTACTGTTTGTCACTAGTCTAAAGGAATTCTCACTCAGGAATAGTTCATTCTTTGAATAGGTGCCGGGAGACGATAAAGGGAAGGTCATGACGCGGAAGTTGTCATCCCCTTGTTGCCCCTTCCTAACACCATGCTTCCCTGTTAACAGAAATATCAATATATATAAGGCAGGGAAAGACTTCCAAAACTCCACCCTGCTTTCATGATGCCTTTATTAAAGAAACCTTTGCTCACATTAATGTTTGGAATTGTCCCACTGAGTTGCACCCTGGAGGTTTTACACCCTGTAGCAATATTCCTTTGCAAGATTTAGATAAGTAAAATGTATGCTGTTCTTTTGCCAAGTGTGAGACAAAGGCCATTGTCAGGGAAGTTGGGAATGAGAGCCGGCAGGATGCCTGGACTAAGAACAAGTTCTCACTTTTAAGAAAGAACTCATCCACAGATTGTGATTATGGAAGTTGATGCCCTTTGTTAGAGGGAAACAGAGAGGCCCAACAGGGATGTTAAAACAAACTTACCAGGGAGAGCTACTCTCATAGTAAAAATTGAAAGAACTGGGTAGAGGGCAAAGAGGTGAAGATACCTCAAATAAGATGAGATTCTAAGTTTTCATTTCTCCTTGGCTCAAGGCAAATTGCAAACTATTCCTTGCTTCTGGTCATTTTCAGATTTTGAGTCACTAGTGCTATAAAACCTGGTCTCAAATAGGCCCAAGATGGGTTGCATAAGATTTCAGCCAGGCTGCTGATGGGTTTTTATGCACATACTCAAAGCTTTGCAAAATTTCCCTTCATATCTTAAAACCATCATTGCTTGCATATACCTTAGAAAGCCTTTCAGTACCCCAGTGGATGTGTCAAAAAGAGGAGTAGAAACTGCACTATGTGTGGTAGAAATCACATCCAATTATAGCACTCAAGAAGAGATGTTCAGAGGAGATAACATTTGAGTCAGACCTGGAAGATGCTAGCAAAAGTTGCCTTTGTATTGGTTTCTCTTTATTAAGCTGAGGCAGTTTTGAGTAAGTAAGCCATGATTCTAAGTTTGAAAACAGCCCCTTTGTTTATAAAGATGTAGCCATACAAATGTTTTATAAATACATTTTTACGGGGTCCATACATAGATTTGCTGCATATAGTTAGAAGGGTCTTACAGATCACATGGACAAATATTTCACAGACCTCTCTGCAGTGCCCCACAGGATCCATTGTACATAGTATCCACTGGACAGTGCACAAAAATGGCAGTAGAAGTGGCTGGGACAGCATAAGCTCCAAAGATTCCTCCCTAACCAGGGACTGCAATCACATAGATGTAGACTATGGGATATCCTCTTATACCTCACTGAGACCAGATTTCTTTTTTCAATCTTTTTTCTCTGTTTTAGTTAGGATCATTTCTATTGATCTGCCTTCAAGTTTACTGACCTTGTCTCCTACAATGCCCAGCATGCTATTTAGGGAGTCAGTGAATTTTTTCATTTTAGATATTGTACTTTCCAATTCTATAATTTCTATCTGGTTCCTTTCTATAATTTCCATTTTCTCTGCTTATCTACCCTAACTTTTCACTCATTATGCCCATTTTTTCTCCTTTAAATGTTTGAAAATATTTGTCATAGCTGTTTTAAGTCCTTGTCTGCCAATTCCATGATCATTGTCATTTTGGGGTCTCTATTAAATACTTTTTTTCTAGACTATGTTTCGCATGTCTAATAATTATTACTCGTGTGCCAAACATTGTAGATGATACTTTGTAGGGAGTCTAGATTATGTAGCTTTCCTTTAGATGGTGTTGAGTTCTCTTCTGGCAGGCAGTAGAATTATTGGTGAATCATCTTGATCCTTAATCCTTGATTTGTTTTATACTTTGCTAGAGCAGATCTGTTACAATTTTGTTATTAGTCTTGGGCACAAAAATGGCAGTGTTGTGTTCTTGGCATACTGAGTGTGTTTCAGTCTCTGCTAATGATTCTTTTGCTTTTTTGTTTTGTTTAGCCGCTGGTATCTGTAGCTAGTTCCACAAAGAAGACCGCATTCATACAAGAGAACACAAAACCCCTTGAGAACGATGGCTTGAAGCAGGAATCTCTGCCAGGTACTTCCAATATGATTCCAGGAATGCCTCAGTAGATTCCTTCTCAAGAGTCTTCTGGCTAGACTGACTGCTGCGTCGAAACTCCCCAAGAAGTAAATTCCTAGGCTTTTCAGCATGCAATTGCTCCTCAAATGCATCCTGGCTCCAAATCTCCTTCTTATCAAAAGTTGGATGATTCTCAGGACACTTCTCTCAAAGCTACAAACTGAGAAAATGGCCAGCTAGGGCTCTGACCTCAAGATGGTAACTATGTGAATTAAACCAAGATTGGAGGGGCTGTGGAAGGAGGTATCTTGCAGGGGACAGACTCTCCAGCCGAGGTTCTGTTCTGGTAGCTATGAAAACCCCTTAATCATGTAAGCATTTGAACTACTGATAGGATAAAATAAACTCATAAGGATTTCAAATAAGTAACCAAAAGACTTTTTCCTCTTGATTTATTTTTTTATTTTTATTTTTATTTTTTTGTATTAGACAGTGAAAACACATCCATCTCATCATGTGTTCAAGTCTTGACTTTAGGTGAACTTTCCAGTCCGGCCTAGAGTGTTTACACATGTCCTAGAGTGTGCCTGTGTCACTGACAACAGATATTTTAAAACAGCTCCAATGACAGTAAAGCTCAAAGAGAGGGTGTTGTGGCCACACACCAAGAGGGTATGAAATGGTTATTACTTCCACGATGAGGCTTTTGGAGGAGAAGAAGATGGGCTTCCCAAGCTGGCTTGAAAAACGGATTGAGGTAGCAAGGAAAGGAGACTGGCTTGGGGTTTGTACCTCCATCAGGGGTGGACCCAGGTAGGAGTTCCCGTCCTTGGGGAGAGGCTTGCCTGGCTTGAAACTCTCGCTATGCCAAAGCTGGGAGCACCTGAGTTTATCAGCTTGCCCAGATGTGGGGAAGAGGGAGAGTTGAAGTCTACAAGCTGTCAGCAGTCAGACACCAAAAAATGGAGTCAGACTTTATCACAGAGGGCAAACCTGGGAAACTCTGAGTGGCCTTGACCCACTCAGTCTTTGAGTAAAGCACTCTGGGCAGGTGCTGAGGTCCTTACTTCTAATTTGCACCTGGTGGGTAGGCATGTAGCCATACTTTCCAGAGTAGCTGGAAAAAGCGAAAGGATCCAAAAACCCACACATGGAAGTAAAGAGAGCTTTGTGAGGGCCCGGTGGTATCTGCAGCATCCCAATAGAAAGTGAAATCCAGGAAGCTTGTCCTCTACCTGGGAGCGGTTGTCTCTTGGACATCACAACCTGTGTGAGGTAAGTTGTGACTTCTGTCTACTATAAAGGATTCCATACTTTTGCCTTTGATCATTCTTTGGCCCCAGTGTTTGCTCATATCCCTGGGCCATGAAAATGTAGTCAATTTCTTCTGATGTTTTGTTGCACCCTTGCCAGATTTGGCTTTTTGGCTGCTGTTATTTTGTTACCGAAAAGTTGTTACAATGCACTTTCTTGTGCACAGATCTTAGAAAGTCTCTGCCGGTCTATCTATGCGTTGCTAAATCAAAAGATACCGGTGTTTTGGGGACAAAAGACATGAACAGACATTTCACTTCTGAAGAGTATATACATATGACAAATAAGCACATGAAATTATGTTCAACCCCATTAACCATTACATAAATGCAAATTAAAATCATAATGATGCATCACTACACATCTGTCAGGATAGCTTGAGTTAAAAAATAGTGACAACAAGGGTCCCTGGGTGGCTCAGTCGGCTGAGCGTCTGACTCTTGATTTTGGCTCAGGTCGTGATCTCAGGGTTGTGGGATCGAGCTCTGTGTGAGGCTCTGCCCTCAGCAGGGAGTCTGCTTGGGATTCTCTCTCTCCCTCTGCCCCTCCTCACTGCTCTCTCGCTCGCTTGCTCTCTCTCTCAAAGAAATAAATAAGCCTTTAAAAGAAAGAAGGTAACATGATGCAGTTAGCTCTGGAAGACAGTGTGGCAGTTTCTTATAAAACTAAACATGCGGTTGCCACAGAAGCCAGCATTTGTGCTCTTGGACACTTGTCCCAGAGAAATGAAAACTTACATCCACACACAAACCTGTATGTGAAATAGATTAAATTGGCAGAAAATAAAAGTAAAATAACTAGCTCAGTGTGGCTCTGCCCCTCCCCTGCTCGTGCTTTCTCTTTCTCTCCCTCTCAAAAACAAAAAGTTTAATTTTTAGAAAAGTTGATAAAATTCTTACCTTATGTACACTCCGTTTTCGAACACCCTCAATTATCCCAAAAAATGTTTTTATTTATTTTATAAAGAAAATTTTATTTTTTATCTTTAATTGCAATCAGTTTTGCCAAATTGTCACCTGGAAAGCTAGACTAATTTACACTCCCATTTGAAAGTGGCCATTTCTTTATCCTCTTGTCACACTGAGCTAGTTATTTTACTTTTATTTTCTGCCAATCTAATACGTGAAAAATAGTAGAGTTCTTTATATATATTCTGGATACTGAAACTTTATCAGGTATATGTTTTGCAAATACATACTATTATTATCCCCATTTTACTGATGAAGAATCTGAAGCACAAAGACATCAGTTAGCCTGCCTGAGCCCACATGGCTAGAAGCAGGAGAGACAGTGTTCAAACTCCCAACAGTTTGGTTCCAGAGTGAGGGCCTGAACTCCCTCATCAGCACTGTCCTCAGAAGAGCGGCCTCCAAAATCAGCTGGTTAAGGGCATGGGCTCGCAGCCTGACTCATTCCTCTCCCAACAGAGATGGCCCCACTCCACAGCCCAGGATAAACCAAGTCACGAGTGGTGACCAGAGTCTCACAGGCTTTACCAAAAGCTAGGTTTCCCCGGGGACTGAATGGCAAAAAGTAAAATGGCCAAGTCCCTCCCTTTTCCCCCCAGGGCAGTGCCTGGAGTTCACCGCCAATGCTTGGGCTGCCCCTTTCCAATGGACATATTCTCTAGAGGAAGCTCGATGCCTTCACTCAGTGTACGATCTTTCTCGCCTCTCTCACTAAGGTGACACTGTGCATCCCACGTCTGGCCAAGCTGGCTTTGCTTTTAGTGAGCAACTAAAGGCGAACCTGAAGAAGGACAATCACATTTTCCTCACCTCTGAGCTCTTGTGGTTGGCAGCTCTCTTCATGGGTCCCCCTCTCCTGATGGGCAGGAGCGGTAAGAGATTCAGTGCTGAGTGCAGGGGAGATGCTCACTGACCACAGTATGTCCAGTGCAGGGAGGGACGGCGGCAGAGATGACAGCAGGTGAAAGACACCACAAGGAGCATTTGAGACCCGGAGAAGGACATGTGTAAAGGCTCGGCGGCAGCAGCGAATACTCACCAGAGCGTCAGCAGGGTACATGTGGAGGAACTGCTGGAGAGACTCAGGGTGCAGGAAAAGGGCTGGATCTGGGAGATGCTGGGGAGGAGGAATCCACAGGAATGGGAAGGAGAAGTCTAGAATGAATCCCAGCTTTTATTTGTTTAGGGAGAAATGAAGAGGCTGAGTAAATTTGCTCCAAAATAATGCCTGATTTTGAAGTGACTTAAAATCAGGACCGTTCCCAAAGAGCAAAGATTTAGGATGGAGTGCTTCTGCCCCCAAAGGATATGTGTTCAGTCAGACTTTCTATACTTTCTTTTTTTTTTTAAGTTTTTATTTTAATTCTAGGGGTAGTTAACATACACTGTGGTATTTGTTTCAGGTGTATAATAGAGTGATTCAACATTTCCATGCATCACCTGGTGCTCATCACGACAAGTGCACTCCTTCATCTCCATCGCCTATTACACCCATCCCCCCACCCACCTCCCCTCTGGTCACCACCCGTTTGTTCTCTATAGTTAAGAGTCTGTTTCTTGGTTTGTCTCTCTTTCTCTCTTTTTTCCCCTGGGCTCATTTCTTTTGTTTCTTAAATTCCACGTATGATAGATGAATGAATAAAGAAGATGTGGTACATATATACAATGGAATATTACTCAGACATAAGAAGAATGAAATCTTGCCATTTGCAACAACATGGATGGACTGAGAGTGTATTATGCTAAGCAAAATAAGTCAGTCAGAGGAAGATAAATTCCATATGATTTCACTCAGACGTTCTATACTTTCTAAAGGGAATAGGCAAATTCCCACTTATCCTTCAAGTTTATTCTTCCACATGTGTTTAAAGAAAGAAACATACAGTCTAAAAAGCATTATCTTTGTTTTCAAGACTATTATCTGACTTACATTGGATATTTAATATGTACCAGGCACTATGTTAAGTGCTTGACTACATTATCGCATTCAGCTCTCTGAGCACTCCCTGAGTTGGGCACTTTAATAATACCCATGTTACGGCTGAGGAAACAACTAAGGCTCAGAGATGAATGGTTGGCCCAAGGTTAGACAGCCAGGAGGTGGCATTTGGGTCTGTCAGGAGCTCACACACTTGACTGCTAGGCTGTGTTGCCTCACACTTACTGATAAAGGAAGTCTAATTCCCCTGTCCATGGACATTTTGCTCCAAGTCAATTTACAGTCTTTTTCTTACCTCTTAGATGAAATGAAATCTTCAAAGAACTTTCAAATGATCATCATTATCCAAAAGCATTTAAGCCCACTCATGCATATTTTTTGTCTTGATTATCAGCCAAAATTAACCAACCGATGCTCTAAGCATTTGCAATCCCAAACAGGATACTTCAAAATTTCATCTTAGATCCTTCTGAGATGCTGTTATAACCATGAAAATCATAAAGTCCATAAATTAAAGTTTTTCTCAGTGACAGAATAATATCTTCTAGTAAAAATATTCTTTTGAGTAATTAGTACTGATTGATGTCATGCTTATATTTCTGTATAGATTGTAAATATTTTTCAAAAGGTGGAATAATATCCTATGGGGAAATAAATAACCCTTTTCTATCTTTGGAAAGAAAATAAGAAGGATGACTTTTGGGGAACAAATACAAAAGCTATGCTCTCACAACCAGATATGTTCAGAATATGAAAGTGAAATAGCTTATATTAACCAACAATGTGGCTTTAAGAAGATGCTTGTCAACAAAGAAAAACTGGTGAATGATTTTCATGGTCGGGTTAAAATTTATGATTTGTGTGAAGGTAGTTCAATGCTTGAGCCAACAACTCCTCAAGGAGGCTTACAGCTGAGTCATCTTTTAGGTCTCATATTAGCAAAGGGAAAGTCCTCTTGGTCTTTCTGCTTTCATGTTTGAGTTCTGTTTGTCAAGAAGAAACT